TTTATTTCACCATCTGTATTTCACACATGGGCATCGAGGTAAAGTCAGTCTTTTGCATAAAACACGCTCCTCGACAGTGATCCTCGTGGCTCTGAGGATTACCCATAATCCAGTAATCAAAATAAAATCATTGAAAATTAGTGATCGTATAGTGGATTTAGTTTACCTAAAGGAACAACCAGCGGGTGTAATTTTTTAAAGAAAGTAAAGCAATTAACTAAAATACTATGAAAAAAGCTCCTTCAGAGTCAGGTTAGCCAACCTGAACAGGGGAGACTGCAGGCTAATGAGCGTTAAAGCCATTGTCAAGGATTAAGCTAGATCCGAGAATATATCAGGAAGATGGTACCCATTGCTGAACTGCTGGGTGAAGCTGAAATTCAGGGAAGTGTGGGTTAAAGAGGAAGAAGAGGGGGAACCATCGCGGATACAGATTCACGCTGTGCTAGTTGATGATGGCAGGAGATATGCTGCAACTCTAAGTGAATGCAAGATCACTTTTGATTTCGTATTCTTGCTAATATTATCTCCCACTTGTCTTTGAGATTGCTAACTAAAGCTTTAGCTTTTTCCTCGTTAAGGTGTAAGAAACTCTCTGCTGATACCAATAAAAACAGTTTAAATGGATGCTAACCGGCTCAGCATAGCACCATACCTACTGGTGACACCCCCAAGTGGTAACATGTACAGACTAAAAAGCAATGGGCCTTGATTCTTGGGGAACCCATCCATCCATCTTCATAACTCCTTATTTCCTAATGGGGTCGTGGGGGAACTGGAGCCTATCCCAGTAGCCTGGATGGTCCCCAGTCCATCACAGGGACACACAGAGACACACAAGGACCAACAACCACACACACTCACACTAAGGGCAGTTTGGAGTCCAACAACCTAACATGCAGGTTTTTGGACGGTGGGAGGAAGCCGGAGAACCCGGAGAGAACCCACAGACACAGGAGAACATGCAGACTCCACCCAGAAAGGTCCTGGTTCCCCCGGGACTCC